TCGAATTAGCCACTACGAGTGTCAGTGATTTAACGCGGCCGTTCCACCAAGTAAGGGCCCTGCCGGTGAAAGTGCAAGCTGCAAATTTGACGTTGCTTGCTTCGGGACATGCACAGATCTCGAAGAAGGATTTCGTCTTCTCGAACCATTGCATCAGAGCGATGACGCCCCGCTTCCATTGAAGGGATTAGGTTTGCCATTTGTAAAATCCTTGTAAGAACATTCTTTTGCGCGTGTGTGACTGTCCCCCTGGTTAGAGTTTACGGCTCCACTTCCCGAACCACCGGCGCCATTTGTACCGATGTGTGACCTTGCGGCTGCCACGAATGCTGCTACGGCAGCTTGGAACATTGCGAGATCAAATTGTGGTGGCAGTGGAGGTGGTGGTGGTGCGTTGCTGGAACGCCTGGGATTTCTCCGGGGTGGCATAATTCTGCCACAAGTTTTAAAGATGAAAAGATGGTAAGCCTTTAATAGTAGTGATAAGTCGGTTGTTAATTGTACCAGATTTATCTGCATTATGTCCCAACTTTAAATTATTTGCAAGTAATTCATAATCGAAGTTTATGTAAAATAAACTTATGAATTTAATAGTACTGTTTCAAACAATTTTTGTGACTTGATCCATACTAGGCCCTTACTACAATTTCTCAGTGTATACTTAGTTATACATAATTAAGATTTAATAGATCTTTGAATCTAATGAGTCTGCCCTAAATCCACAACCAAACAAGGAACAGGATATAAGGCGGACACACCATTTCTAAACCGATAGACTCGTAACTATATATAACTTTATTGTATACACTAAACAATTGTAGATTTCACCAAGTAACGATAAACACTGTTATAAATGTAGTGGTAGTGCTCCCAGTGAAATAATATGCATGCCCATTTCATTGATATGATTTAGTACATAATGTTTGGAAAATGTGACCCTGAAGCAGGTCTACATCATATTAATGCAACATGATTCTTACAGCACATAAATCCCTCGACTAGTGTAATCACTTAATCGTAGGATTGAACCTACATGTAGAAAAGAGTAGCACCAACGCATACTCATAAACCTAAACTATAAGGATTTGTGGGTGGTATGGACCCTACTCACGGCGACCAGACCCTTGCGGTCCCTGAGACGAATTCGAGGCACCCTGCAGTTCCGCTAGCTAACGCTCGGCTGCGATTACCCTTTCCTCGAGAGCCAAGTGTCTTTCCTGAAACTCCCTTACCTCCGCCCGAGCGGTGGTAAGGTCCTCAATGAGTTGATCAATGGGATAGTAGTCTCTTTATAGGTCTTGAGTACGCGCATCTGAGGCTTCTACAACAGCGTTGAGATCCTGAAATCGATCCGCCATTTCCCTATTCTGGTCCCCTAGGTTCGTGATTTGTTGGATCACGACTGGGAGGGCCCTGTCAGCCGGTCCCCCATGATTGAGGTCGTAGTAACCATGTTGATCGCTAAATGGTGATCGTTGTCGCTGTTGACGGCTCCATCTCTCGATCACTGTTGCCCAACGGGGCTCAGGCCCGTTGTAGCCAAAACGGTTCGCGGGCACCCTGGCTTTGTAAGGAGGATTGATGACCTCCGGCTCCTCTTCCGACTCCTCTTCGTCTTCATCTTCCTCCATTTCCTCTTCAATTTCATCTTCTTCGGGTTCTTCTTCTGGTTCCTCCTCTATCCATCCTCCGTTTCCCTGGTTCGGAAAGTAGGGGTCTCCTGGTAAATGTAATCCTGCCATGTCGTCTGTGCAAGAATAGGGGTGTAAGAGGCATATAATGAATCTAGAAACATGGCGATAAAAAACATAAAATACTCCTATAGTGTTTTAAAGGTTATGTTTGGTTCTTAACGCGTTTCTTGTATGGGTGTTGGTAAGTTGATAGACCTGTCGCCCACTACGACTATCCCCTGATATATGCTAGTCACTTCTCGGACGAATATAGTTGATCAGACTATATTTCTCCCAGACTTGATTACATATCCCAAGGCACAATCATAGTGTACAACTCATCTATCTTTATTTTTCGTGTTTTTCTTAGATGTGACACTATACCGTCATGCATGCATGTACCTATACTTTTACAAAAATATATTTCATTTCAAAAAGTATAGTTATATGAAAATGTTTAATCAAAGAAGTTTAGTCCCAATGTGTTTATAGTTGGTATATCTTATGTGGTTCGATATACTTAGTTCACTATAAACAATGCTCTGATACCAATCTGTCACACCCCCAAACCAAGGATGGCGGAAACGTCCGGGGGTGGGAATGACATCATGTATAACATCATAACGAGTATAATAGTGACCAAAGCAAACACAACCATCATAAATATAATTGAAAAAGTTACACCATAGTATGAATTACATGTTCCAAAATCAATTACATTATGATGACAAAAATGTATTAATTGACGTCTTGCGTCCCATCTTCAAAAGCAGTTGGTTACCTGTTTCACTGGTTTCCTGAGAATACAAGTAGTTTTGAAAAAGTGTCAACAATTAAGTTGGTGAGTTCATAAGCTTTTGGATGTAGTGTTTGAAAACCTTTGTTTGTAAATGTAGTGTATACTCAAGAAAAATCCAATATTTCCCTTATAAAATGTTGTGTAGTCTTAAGTCCCAAGACCGAATGTATGGGTGTGTTTCGTAATTGTAACGAAGTATGCAGTTTTAAATAGATAAAACCCCTTTTAAAGTACAATTTCCCGTAAACTTTAAGTGTTGTTAACTCCTTATGTGAGTCGTTATAACCATACTGTAACTGAATGAACCTGCTACAACGTTTTTCAGACGTCAAAATGTTATGACTTTTGTCACCCGTAGACCTGCAGGTCCTGTTGTAGCTAGCAGTAAGGTGTGGGGTGTCAATCCCAATATAGATCTATATACAATTATCACGCTCTCCCTACAAGAGACTCTGGTTACAACTTACATGAATTTTAACCCGTACTCTAAGAGTACAATTGAATAATTGTCTCACAACTTACATTAACGATTTTATGTGTGGTTTGACTGTAAAACCTTTTCTGTGATGGAAGTAATCCCTTTCTTATGTAGTATGTTTGAAGTGTAAAGTCCATAAACTATACCTATTATAGTTTATTGTACGTGTTCAAAGTGAATGAAAACTCTTATCATGAATGACTAATTTCTATTTATGGTGTTAAACTAACAAGAAATACATTCAACATTTAGAAACTTATTGTCATACACTTTGCTCAACATGTTACAAAGTGTTGTAAATATTGTAAGTTGTTAAACTAGCTTTTCGTTTTACTGCACTGTTTTAGAAAAATCACAGGAAAATCATACGAGGCCAAAAACTGAATCTGTAAACTCTGAGAGTTTAGAAAATGTATCTAGTTTATTCAGAATCTTTATTATGATTTTTAGAAGTCTCTAACTTGTGTGAAAATGTTCAATTTCACAGACTGGTCCGAAGTTGTTTCTGAAATGATAGACAGTTTTGTAAAAATCGCCATAAATTGTAGAAAAACCGTATAAACATGTGCAATTAGTCATTAGAAATGTATAAACCTGAACTATTTGCACCTTGTACAGTTTTGAAAACTAAAAAGTTTAAGATGTTCAAAACAGTCCGTGAATAGAACTAAACTTTCCTGATGAAAGCTGATGTTTTAGTTTAGTTAAGTTTTTGGTGTATTAACTTGTATTCCCCCCTAAAACTCGAAGAAAACATAAAAATGTAGGGTTATAAACTCACCTTGAGTGATTTCCTTAGATGAATGTGGAAGAGGAGAGATTTCCAAGTCAAGAACACTTGGGAGGTGCTTGAAGATTTGAAGATTGTAGGCACAAATATGACGATATTTGTGTAAGAGATTCATGATTTGAGTGAAGGAGTACAGAGTATTCAAGTGTAGGATGAAGATACTTACCAATAATGGAGGAGAATGCTCAAGAACAACCTTGAAATCTCGAGTTTAGAGAGGGAAAGTGAGAGAGAGAAATGGGTTTGTTTTTTATGAAAGAGAGAATATCTTGGAGGAGAGATAAGGGTTCTTCCCAGACCTTGATTAATGTATGTTGCTGGAGAATGGTGGTGAAAGTACAAATAGTTGACTAGCTATAGGTGAATAGTGACAAGAAGATGTTATTGAGTGGGTATGGGAGATAGCTTGTGTCATTACTTTATGGGGAAGTCAACACTCAAAGCCAATATCTTGCACAAAAGATATTATTCTTTAGCTAAAGGTTTCCCTCAAAATGTGATTAAAATATGAATATACAGGGTCTTATATGTCAAAATATAAGTTTGGATGAAAAACCCACGCGAAAATCATGAAAAACAAGCTTAAAATGCGAAAGTGGTCGAAAACTGGGTTTTAGAGGCGAATCTGCGAAGTTTGGTCCCTGAGAACCGAAAGGAGGCTTTGTCCGAGAAGCTCAGAGGCGAACTCATCAGGAGGGAACCGAAAGTAGGATGGAACCGAGAGCCGAGGGTTCGGTCCATTAAGGTTAGTTTCGGTCCTTTAAGCAGCTTCGGTCCCATGCAGATTCGGTCCTAAAGGTTTCGGTTCAAGAGGCAGGTTTGGTTCACATGACTTCGGTTTTCTAGGGTTTCGATTCCTAAGGGTTCAGTCTCTAGGGTTTCGGTTCTTACAGCTAGTTTCGGTTCTTACAGCTAGTTTCGGCCCTACATGACTGTTTTCCAAGAAATCTTCCCATTTCGAGTGGTGTTCGACTAAGTTATGGGTCGGGATGCCCCGAATGATTATAAAAAGTTTGAAAGAGATTTGGAAGAGATTTGGGAGAGAGAGAGAGAGAGAGTGAGAGAGAGAGATTTAGAGAGACTTTGTTTGCGCCCTTTGTGACTGTTTAGCCTCGAAATGCAAGGTTCGTAAGCCTCGTTAAACCTTGTTATGAGTGTTATATGCCCCGTAGGGTATGTAATAGTATTTTATCAAGTTGTTACATCATTGACCCTAATTAGGGTTTAGATTTTTCAAACGCGTGAAAACCCTAAGTGATACTTTGCATTAAGGTAGTGAGTTGTACAATAGTAAACATAATGTAAACCCTAATATACAAGGGTTAGTTGAGTTGACCGGTTTGACTTGTTGACTTTCATTGACTTTGACTTGACCTGAAATTTACGGTTGTCACACATCACCCTCTACTCCCCACTGAATCTTCGTTTTTTGAGCGAGATCTAACTGAGCTAATTGATCTAACTCTGAAACCTCCTTTAATAAAGAAACCCTTTGTTCCCTCATGATAGAAGATCCTTCCCCATCCATCAGACGACTATCAAGAGATTCAATTAAATCTTGGAGATTCTTCTTTTTAGTAACCAACAAATTTCGATTATTTAGATTCCAAACCCTAAGATTATATTTAAGACGCTATAATTTCTTCTTAAATTTCACCCAGGGATTATCCAGACCCACCCCAGACAAATCACTCATCCAGGAATCCCACACAATAATCTCAAAACCATCTCTATCAAACCATGAATGAAAACACCCGAAAAGGAATAGGGCCATAATCCACCCGATGCTCCAAAAGAAGGATCGGACGATGATCAAGAATATTTTTTTCCAACACAATACCCGCAAGATGAGGAAAAACAATCATAAACCCATCTGTGACCAAGAATCTATCAAGTTTACTAAACTTAGATCCCCATTTGTCACTCCAAGTAAAACGAGGTCCACCTAAAGGAATATCAGAAAGATCAAGATTCTCTATAAAATCATTAAAAGCTCGAGCAGAAACATGATTAAAGACCGAACCCATTCGCTCTGTTTCATCACGAACTTCGTTAAAATCACCCATAATAATATTTTCCCCTGGAAAAGATGAAATAAAGGCTAGAAATCTCATCCCAAAGAACTCTTTTGTTGGCAATTCCTTGAGGGGCGTAAACAACAATAAACATGACATCAAGACCCGTACGAACCCACACCCCCTCCACAGCAATAAAGCAATACGAAATAATAACGCGATTTTTGGAAATACTATCCAAATCCCAAATAGCTAGGATGCCACCCAAAGCACCTCGGGAAGGAGAAACCGCATGCATAAAAGAAGAATTACCCCAAAAGGAACGAACCGTGGCCAAATCAACATCTTCCATCTTGGTTTCTTGAATGGCTAGAAAATTAATTTTATGGAAAATACATAATTTTCTAACCCAACTCCGCTTTTGTAAAGATCCCGCTCCTTGAACATTAATAGAAAGACAATTCATAAATGTTGTCTTTCAACGTGCCCTTGTAAAATATCTTTCACCCGGTCCAAACAACCTTCCATATTATACCCCAAAGATGCTCCCATATCAATCGTCTTCTTTAATTCAATAAAAAAGGAATTACTTTTTTGATGCCCCTCCGAGACAGACTGATTATCTCCCATAAACGAATAACACTGGTTAGAAAAACCCCGGGGGTAAGAAAGGTCATCTTCAGAAATATTAATGCCTGAAACACGTCCATAACCTCCCGAAAATCCGACTGGACTAGCATGAGACCGGTTATCTTTATTTGATGCCGAATTAACAGCTTCTTTAGACCCCGATTTTTTGGAAATTGGATCCAACTCATTTAACAATGGTTGACCAGAGACGGGCGGAGTAGCAATAGAAGCTGTTGTCGCTGCAGCAGGCTTAGCAAAATTGTCTTTTTAACGTATGATGCCTGTATAAGAAACAAAATTGAAAGTACATTGTTGTAATATAAAGAACTAAGAGTAGGATGCTGTAATAAACATAAATGAAAACATGTTGATATTTCTTGCCATGTAGAATACCTAAGTATTAAAAGCTGTTTATGAAAAAAAAAACAGTATAGATGCATTACCAAGATATAAAAAAGTCATTGTCATCACGAAAAAGACATTTAACTCATTTCTTGCTTTTTCTTTGTGCTTGTGTCTGCCATGTTTAAGCAGGACAATCACATATTCCTGTAAAAATAAAAATAAAAATAAAAATAAAAATAAAAAAAAAAAACCTAGTTATTAAATTTACAAAAATAAAATCATATCAAGTAGAAGCATAAACTAAACAAATTTTTTTATTAAGTTTATAGTTAAGAATGACCCTTATTGACTCAGAAAAGTACCCATGCTAGATGACAGCCATGGATATAGCATACTTGTAATTACTAGTGCTTAGTAATACTTTATATTCAGAACACTTTAAGCAAAAGAAGGTAAATGAAATCCAATATGCGAACATATTATCATCATAAACACGTATAGTTTTAAAGGTTGATGTTCTTGATCTTAAAGGTTGAATGTGCTACAATATAGTAAAGGGAAAATCTGTCTACTACCAACACTACTGAGTGCACCATGATTCCTAAATGAAGAATGTGATAATGATAACTTAAGTGGTAACAATGGTGGAATTCATATAAATATATAATTACTCTGTGATCGATAGCTATAGTGTAGCATGTGCCCTGTGGTATTACATTTATATTCAGAAAACTTTAAGCAAGTTAAACCAGAATACTCTAACTAGTTAAAGTGATTCATCTCATCAAATAACTCATTTACACGCAGAACCATTAAAAACTAAAGGCAGGTGCTGATTTACTGTAAAACAAAGAGCAACGATCAAAATAATCAAAGCAAGAATAAAACACCTTGAGAAAGTCATTGTTCCCGATGAACGTCAAGCTTATGGATTCAATTATCAAAATTGTGAAAATAACAATAACAGAATAAATAAAATTAAGTAAATTAAAAGTCATCATCAAATTGCAGCTCTTAAGAACATAGATTCAATGGTCAATGTAACCTTCTTTCAAAATCTCATCCAGTTGATGAAATCACGAGACAGAGATCGATTAAGAGAGAGAGAGAGAGAGAGAGAGAGAGAAATACCGGAGGATGTGGGGAAGGAGGAGGCGCCGCCGGTAAGTAGGAGACGGCAACGTGGGAGGACGAACCTTACCACAGGCGGCTCTGTTGCCCCTTTCGTTCTTGCGCTGCAAGTAAGAAGTGGCGAAGGCGGCGAGGAGAACGAAGGCCGCCGACGACGGCGACGGTGGTGGAAATGGCAACAACGACTTCAGGAATCAATCAGGAGTGCAAAACTAGGGTTTGTATGTATAGTAATCTTCGCTTAACCTTTGGACCTGTTTATTTGATGCGGGACGGTTTAAAATCAATATACTCGGGACGGTTTAAAATCAATACATTTAAGGACTGCTTATTATTATTCCACTATCGTTCAAAACAAAAATAGCAAAAAATATGATAACTTGTTAATTATTTAAATTAATTATTTAAATACGAAATGGAGTAGAATATATTTTTATTTCTTTTTTTTTTTCTTTAAAGGTTTTAGTATCTTAGATCTCATAATTCTCATTCTTTTATAATGTTTCCGTTGATTATATATAGGTTCACTAATGACCATTATTTTACGGTCATTAAATTTTTTTACTTTGTAATTTAATGATCTTTATTTTGTCTTAGCAATATTTGTATGTTGAAGGTTGGGGTTCGAAAGTTCATTGATAACTAAGATGCAGGGACAACTATTTTTAATCATTAAATGTCAAATACAGTGAGGACAATTCTTGGTCACTAAGTCCCCAATATAATGACCAACATATTTAGTCATCACGCATCAGATACATTGACCATTATTTTATGGTCACTAAAATTCTTTTATTTTATAATTCAATGACTACTGCTTATGTTGTCATAATATTTCTATGTGAAGGTTAAGTGGGTTTGAAAATTCGGTGACGATTATTTTTGGTCACTAAGTCTGCAATGCAGTGACCACTTAATATTTGGTCATTAAATTTGTAAGACTACAAAAACTCAGTGACGACTTAATATATAGTGACTAAATGATGTTGTTAGTGAATAGTCAATGCTTCTTTCTTTTGATATTAATTGTTTCTGTGGAATTGCATATTGTTTCTTTTTATTCAAAAACTTTGTTTTGTATATTAATTATGTTGGAGTCCCAATAAATTCCTCTCTGTTTGTCCCTTTTTTTGGCTTTCCCTTTTTTTGGCTTACTAACTGTATATCATTAACATCATGGCATTTAAATAATCATCATATAATCGTGTGATTTCATTCACTTTTCTCTTTTTTTTCTATCTCATTAAGGTTTTATAATAAATGTTATATGATTTGTATATTACAGCTTTCTTATTTGAAATTCTAATTTTCGTTTCTTCATAGATTTTCATCAATATGACATTAAAATCAGTGGCGGATCTTAGCGGTACCCGAGGGGTCCCGGGCCACTGCTCCGATTCCGGCACGTAGTGTAAAAAAAATTTATGTTTTTTCTATTAGGTGCACCGGCTTAAAATACGAGTGCCACTACTAATTTAGATTTTTTTGGAAAATTTTTTTAGTGTCACCCCTACTAAAACCTTCTGCGCCCGCCACTGATCAAAATCCATTACACTGTTATGTTATTGGGATGAAAAAATTTATGATGAGAAAGAAAGTATAACTTACAACAAATCTCCGAATAAAGCAATCAAGGTTCAATGTAGAATACAGTTCGATCAGCCAAATCCATAATCCGACATCGATTGACAAGCAACGATACCATATCAAAGTAATATTCAGATACCCATCTATTGTTGGAAAGGTGGTGAAATATATATCACTCCCAATCAAGGACGATATTGACGTTGAGATCATGTTTGATGTGCTTAGTCTCCATCAAGAATTAAACAACATTGAATTAAACAACATTGATCTATGTTTGATGTTCCGGTCCCTCACGAAGCATATTGGCTCGATGCATGTATTCGAGGAATGCTTCCAAACCCAGAGTTAAAACGGAAGGAAAAAAGGTCGACCTCGTTCGACAAGGCTACGACATGGAATGAACATTAAAGAAGGAAAAAAAACTAATTTTTATGGATTGTGTAGACAAAACGGTCATAATAATAAATAAATAAATAATTAATAATAATAATAATAATAATAATAATAATAATAATAATAATAAACATGTCCTTCTATGCCTAGAAAACGATATGCTGATATGTAACAGTGATTGATTGAGTAAGATTTATTCAAGTTTTTTGGTCATTTTACCTTACATTTACTCATTTTATATTTGATGTTTGATTATACAATATTTATCCAAGTTACATTTACATTTATAAATTTTTATGTCTATTTTAGTTTTGTTATGATTTTATTCATAAAAGTTATAAACCTCAAACGTTAAAAATAAAATGAACTGTGAACGATGAAAAATTTTAAAAAATAAAACAAGTTTTTAGTATTTTGTTATTTGATTTATCTTATTTTTTTAATAGCTCTTGAGACTTTACTATCAGTTGATGAGAACGGTTTAAATTATTAGAAAAGAAATCTATTCTAATAAATGAAGGTTTTTTTTGTCACATGTCATACTCTCATTAATTTATCAAATGTCATTTTGTGGTTATTTTGAATTGATTTTTTTTCACATGTAATTTTATGGGTTTTTCTATTTTAATAAATTCTACATAATATTTTAATGTAATAATTATAATAAATGTAGTAATAAATGAATATCAATTTCATTAATGAAATTACCTTCTTATTTCAAAATTCTCAAATTAAAGCTCATTAATTTATTTTTTTAATTTAAAAGATAAAAAAATCAATTTTAATAATTCATTATTTTTCTTATTTTCTTATAAATCCAAAGTTTTAAATATTTTGACATTTATATTTTTTTTTAATTAACACGTGTAACACATGGGTCTTACACCCAGTAATAATATAATAATAAGGTTATTTTTTATTTTAATTTTATATTATAAAAATAATTTATATTGTAAAAGTAATAACAAGTAATAACAAATCGGTAGTCACATGATATTTAACACGTATTTAATTTACTTTAAGTAATTGAAAGTTACCAAAAACAAATTACTATGTTTTGGTAAATAAGTTTGAAACTACAATTGATTTGTAAATATTTTTTAAAAATGCAATGACATTGTACAAAACTCATATGGAATGTGGCACCACACTGTTTAGCCTAAGAGTTTTCAAGCAAAAATTATACAGTTAAGTCCCAATCCAACAGACATGCTGACTAGACTGTAAATGTTGATGTAGCGTTGCGAGAAAAAACACGCCAGCGGTGTTCCTTACTTAAAAAAAGCTTTATGTGGGAGGGTATAAGTTTTACCGATGAAAACCTATGTGGACACCATTACCGACGGTAAACACCGCCCCCTGAAAAAAATTTCACCGCCGATATATGTTCACCCGTGGTAAATGTGAGGCAAAGGATGGGATGTGTCTTTCTCTCTCTACTCTCTCTCTTCTTTACCGACTACGAATATCATCAACACCACCCCCTAATTCTACAAAGTTCATAAGTAAAATTTTAAAATCTAGGTGGAGCATATGTGGAATGCGGCACCACACCCTTTAGCCTAAGAGTTTTCAAGCAAAAATTATGCGGTTAAGTCCCAATCGAACTGAGATGCTGACTAGGCCTTAAATGTTGACGTGTCTCTGTGAGGAAAACCACATCAGCGGTGTTCCTTACTTAGATAAAAGCTTCAAGTGGGAGGGTATAAGGAAGTTTCGAACTCGGGACCTCACAAAAAGGAGTGCATCGCTTAGTCGACCTGGCTATAACCCATTTTATGTTTTCTTTTTCCGATTTCTTATATATATATATATATATATATATATATATATATATATATATATATATATATATATATATATATATATATATATATATATATATATATTGTATGTATAACGGATTCCTATTATTATTATTATTATTATTATTATTATTATTATTATTGTATAAATATGATTTTATAATGTATTATATATTTAAAAACATAATTTATTTTACTTTTAAAAAGGTATTTATATCTTAAAACCATATCTATATATGAATACATTTTTGAGTAAATTACACAGATAGTCCCTATGGTTTGAGGTAAATTACACTGGTAGTCCCTAACTTTTGTTTTTAACTCGCACAACCCTTAATATGGAACTATTTTGTGCGCCTAGTCCCTCCGTCTATATATCCATCATTTGCACAGTTAGGTCAGCCCATCTGTTAGGCACTCGCACGTGGGCTTTTTAATCTTTTCTCTTTTATTGCCTTATACCGTCATAAGGATGATACGAAGACTCAAACACCCCATCCCCATAATTCGTCTTATCTTACTCGAGAAAACCCACACCCATCGCTGACTTGCAGAAACCCCTAGAAGAAAAACCTTTTTCCATGAAGCTTAGCAATGATAAACCCACTGATATGTGCTGACATAGAAGAAATCGACATTGGACTTGGTTATGGTAAGATTTCTTTCTTGATTTTGCATGTTTGATTGAATGTAAGTTTTTAGAGTAGCCCAGATTTTATAAATCGAACGTATTTTGTGTCTTAGGTGATGGTGATCGTGATGAAGGCAGTGACTCTGATGATAGTGACTTTATTGTTGATGAAGGCAATGTGGTAGAGGATGTAGAGGTTGACATGACGAATTTTCACTTGAACATTGACATCGATGCTGAGTGGGTGGGGGGGACATCAATGTTTAGTGGGTAGGGGTACCAACAATAGACTGGTAGAAGAAAACAATGAAGAACCATAAGTTGAAATGTTAGACAACGAAACATTGTTGTCTGGATCTTCTTCAGACGAAGGACCAGCTTCTCAACACAGGAAGTCCATTAAAGCTCTACAGAGAGCACATGAGAATGATGAAGCATTTGTGAGTGAACCATTTTACATACATCTAACATTTAGTTCTACCAATGAATTTAAAGAAAATGTTAAACATCATGCTATCGAAACTACGAGAGAAATAGAGTTTGAAAAAAATGATAAGAATAGAGTAAGAGTTGTGTGCAAAGGGGCAACGCCAAGTCTTTAAATTAATGACGATGAAAGAAAGTGTATGTGGTTCCTCTATGAAAGTAAATGGAAATGTGACATTGACTAGACGATCAAAACATACATCTGAAGGGTTTTGAGCACTCTAACAACCTTATGGTGCACATGCAACCCTAAATGCTTTGGATCTATGTTTTCTCTAATTATACATGCAATTTGATTTTCCAAAGAATTATCCTAACTAGCATACAAAGCATGGGTACTTGAACAACAAAACTAGTTAGATAACTTACCTCTTGTTGTAGCTTGTAAACTTGAACCTTTAAGAGCCTAGCACCCCAAATGTGATGCCTCAAATGCTTCACAAAACACCACCAACAATGGAGGACTTGAGAGAAAATGACTTGCACAAAAATCGGCTCTTATGATCTCTTAGAACAACTAGTGGCCGATTTTAGGAGCTAAGGGACTCCTTTTATAGTGTGGCAAAGTCTAGGGTTACATCCATGTACACCCTAATGGACATGACCTTTCATATTACTTAGGCTCCATGGGTTAAACCTCCATATACTATCCATGGACTAACTTGTTGGTTTAGCCCATCCTAAATAACCATAGGCCCACACTATAAGAATCATTGATTTACTAAATCAGTCCCTGTATATTTAATTAGTGTATTTTGATCACTGAATTAATTCCAAATTAATTCCAAATTAGTTCTTGATCAATACTAATCAAATAATATGATTTCACATTAATATATTAGAACTTATAATATATTAATAAATCATAAATAACCTCTTCTCAAAAGTCTATCATGTCAAATTGTTCCGGTGAAATGCAACCCAAATGGACCATGCTATTTTTAGGTCAAGTACATACCAATTATAGTTATAGACTTAGACACCTTATCCAACAGTCTCCCACTTGGATAAATCTAATAACTATAGCTGCAAGTACGACTTCAGGAACCAACTAGTAATTGTAGCTCTTATATCCTCTGTCAAACTCTGACATGCCATTTAGATAAGGGATCATAGAATCCTCTGTTCTCAAGATATCAGCCAGACAAATACATGGAACATAGTCAATCTTATTGTCCAACATTTATTTCCCGATTTTCGATTTGTTTGACATAGAACTTAATCGAACATCAATTGAAGTCTGACCGGGCCAGGCACATAAGTCAAAACAAAATCATCGAGGGGCCCAAGATATCGCTTTTAATCCTCCAAGGACTAAAAGGAACAGATAAACTTCAACAATATATGCTTGTACTAACTACTTGTTAAATCATACACAATAGTGTGTTTTATAACATCAAGTTACTGATGCAGTTTCACACTATCAATGTACAACCAATTCATAGTCAACAACTCATATATCTCGGTTTGAAGACTATATGATATTATCGTCTCACGATCACTCATGATAAATTCCATGAAGTGATTCAAGTGAGCGTGGGTTTAATCCAATACTCAGACCTTATGAGCACTCATGAATGTTGTAGAAAACTTTGTTATGTCTAATACACTTCAGACAATCTACAAGCCAAATTCATGACAGTCTTGCCTCAATACCTACTTCCAATGTATGATCGACTGTGGATAGTTTGAATAATATAATTATTCTGGAAGTCAAAACATGCAAATGAAACAATAGTAAACAATTGACATAAGACAGTAACCTTACTTATAAATAAAAAAAACACCTTTTATTTAATCATCAAATGTCAATTACATTTTATCTATTACAAGTTTCAAAATAGCTATCTAATCATTAAAACTAACATCGTCCTTCATCCCGATGCGCCTCGCAT